TATTATTACACGTGATTGTATGCCGAAAATAAATAACAAAATTAGGTAGGTACACCATGCAACAATTAAATTTATGTAGATACATATGTATGTGGATTTTTCATTTTTTTATTTTGTTTTTTATTTTTTTTTGAATTGAAAAAAAAAAACTATGTTGGTGGATAAATTAAGGTCTAAAGTTATGAAAATGAAAATAAAAACAGGCGCTAACTTCACGCCGCACTAACTCTTTAATGTACTTGAAAATTATTAACATTAAGTAAGTCCACGACTTTCATAGCTGTAGACACACTAATTGTAAGCGGCATTCAGTTCACTTTCAGCCACGCATATCCGCAATGCGTCCACACACGTCTGCGTGTGTGTCCGAATTAGGTTAAAATTCATGGTAATATCTGGCATTTTATGACGGCTAATTCTGTTGAGATGGATACCAAAGCGTTAACTATGCGCTGCTGTGGCACAATTAGAGCCGAGCTTTTGGTTCTTGGTTCTTGGTTTAGAAATTGTTAACAATAAACAACTGAATACACAAATACAAATTTGCATACTTATGCAGATATTCTAACACGTGCAAGCGATAAATCTGATGCGAAAGCACAAAAATAGGAAAATAGACGCTCAGACAGACTGCCATCAAATAGGTAGACCAGACCAGGCGGTAAAATCTGTGAGTTTTTTATGCGTTTTTTTTCCACTTTTATCAAAAAGAAAAAGTAGCTGCAAATCTTTTCGTGCCCCGTTCTTTTGTTTTATTGTTAATGGCCGAATCAACAGCTTACAAAACTTTACTATGGTATTGTTCAAATTCTCGTTAATTGACTATCTACTGTGTGAGCACTTTCGGTGGAAGAGTGAGTAACAAAGTGTGTACACACCTGCTTAAATAACTATGTATGTATGTATGTATATGTATTCATATTTTAATTTGCTGTTTTCCAAATTTTACGGCAGTTCATTGAGAATAAAAACGCTTACCGTTATATGGGGTTTATATGTAAATTATATTTGGTAGAGTTCATCGCACATATTTTAGTCTTTGCATACTTCATAAAATTGTTTTTACTTCTATACTTTAGTTAGATCAGACAAAAATAAAGCATCAATAGTATTTTTTTTTTTTTTGTACGCCTATTTAATAAAACCGCCCTGGAAACCTCGATTACAAATAGATACATGATCGGATCAAAAATATGTCTAAAGACCTCGCAGACTAAAAGTCTCGACATAAATTAAAGTTTATTTTATACCTTTTTACAAAATTTTTATCCCCGAATAGACAAGAGCCAAACAATTTTGCCATTAATATTTTGTATGTTTTTTTTTCTCTAGAATGAAAAAAAAAATTGTTTGGTATGTGAAACACTGTCATCAGCACGGTTCGGATTTCATTGACCTAAAAACTAGCAAAAAGTGATCTAAACAATAATAAAAACCGGTCAAAATGTTTAGGTATTACTTATATGTGCTATTTATGCTATCTATGCACTATGCTAGACCGTATGCACCGGTTCGTGAATACCCCTTATGTATAAAAGTACCGAAAATGGGGGAAATCAAAAATTTCTTTTACGGAAGGTAATATTGTACCGACAATTTCACATTGATTTCAATCGTGACTGAAAATGGACGCTTTGGCTGAATGAGTCATTGAAAGCACTGCAAAAAGGTTGCTATTATGTATGTACATACATACATACATACATACATATGCACATATGTGGAAAATCAATGCCGAATAGTTACTCTGTCAGCGAAATTTCGTGAAAGAAGTCAAAGCGACTGTCAACTATGGATGAAATGGTGAATAAATACTGTGGAAATGGTAAACAAAAAAATACAATTAAATAACTGAAAAGAAAAGATTTATGCAACAAAATTGAAATTTTAGCAAAGGAAGCGAAAAAGTATATGAAATCATTTTCTTATAAACAAAGATAAAAATGCATCCCCAGCCTAAAATTTAATCGCCGTTGAAGAAAACAACCCTTACGGCTAAGACGTGTTCAGTGGACAGTTTATTATTGCTGTTGCCGGGCGTTATCCGATTGTACCTATTTATAGTTTTTGGAATACATACATACATAAGCAAAGCAAAGTTCCCGAAATCTTAACGAAATCTTTAGGAGTATCTCATTTTTGTAACGATGTTTGTACGAATCTTCAAATAAAATTATATGAAGGGGTCGACACGAACTCGTAAAGAAATTTCTTTACGCGAAATAAAGAAAATTCTGAATAAATTCTCCAACAAATTCTTCACATAGCAGCATAATATAAACCTTTTTTTTATGTGAAAGAAATCTGCAACACCTTCCGCAAAAATAAAAAAAAAATGAACGGTAATTTTTAGTCACTTGAAACTTGCATATTATTAGACTAAAATTGAATGGGCTAAAAAACTGTATACCCAAATCTAATGGCGATTTCGTTTCTACAAAAAATGTAGCCTTCTCATCGCTCTCTTCTTAGTGTTTGTGCGTAGAGGGCAAAGAAAAAGTTGCATTTTCGGTAGAAAGGAAATCGGCATAACACTTGTGAGAAAATTTAAAATTTGGCTGAAATTTCCTGAATTTTTTGTAGTTTTCTACAAAGTTTTAAACAATTGTTTATATGGGGTTTTTTAGAGAAGGAACTGTATTTTAATTACTATACCTATTCAGATACATATTAATAAAAAATAAAAAAAAAACAGGAACATACATATATTTATGAATATGTATATGTACATACATACATACATACATATCGTCGTTTAAAGTACAAAACCGCGTATCAAGAAAGTACAAACCTCGGAGGTGAGGTTGTCCAAATTTTATAGGAGAGAATAAAACTTGTTTCATTTCGAAACGGTTCGCTCTTTTATCTCCAATTATCTCTTTTTGTTATATCTACTTAGGTATCGATATTTTAGTATTTGTAAATGGATAAGAACTTGATGCCAGGAGCTTCCGGTAAGCAAATATGTATGTATATTTTTTGGCAAAAATGTCATTGACGAGGTTTTGCAGAACCACGATACGCGGTTTTGTACTACAAACGACGATATGTACGTATGCATGTACAAATTACTATCTAGGTAGTTAGATACTATTTTCAGTATTGTAACAATTTTTAATACTTTGACATACATACATACATATGCAACTGTATAAATTAGATAGCAAAAAGTGTTAACAATAGCAACTAATCGGAGAAAACCATGAAGATCATTCAAAAGAAGAAGAAACAAGGCTGCTTAAACAAAGGAAAATTTTTACGCCAACCACCTTTCACCACTTATTTATTCATATTTTTCAGCTGTACAGATGTGCAGTTGATTTAATCCCAATTAAGAAAACTCCATTAAAAGTTGCAAAGAACGCAACAAACATATAGAAAAAGCAAGTATTTATTATTAATTTGTGTATGTACAAGGTTGGGTGAGAATTATGCGTTTGTGCGATAAGAAGTCAGCCAAGGATAAGGAAGTACCTCCTCCATATTTATATACAGTGTATAAATACATATATACTACATACAAAAACGTGATGAATTATGCAAAATGGCGGAGGAAATGCAGCGGATAAACACAAACGGAACTTACCGAAGTTCTAATCGGAAATATCAACGATCCAAATTGATTGTAGTCCAATTGGAAAATATGATGTCGAAATTTTAGTTAGGCCACTTCACTGCTAGTATGTACCTGTTTGTTTCGGTTGCACAGGCAGGTCAAACTCGATTTACCATAAACCGTCGATAGTTCCACGTGATTTCGATATTCAATATCCGATTTTAATACAACAAAAAATAATGAAATTTCCGCTCACAATATATACAAAACATACGTACGCACATACATATGTATGTATATGCCGGTTTACAAACGTTTAGCGGATTTTATATACGCCACTCGTTGTATGTAGAAAATGATGAACGAACGGTACTATAAGTGCGTGCAAGTGCATACAAGCGAATGCAATTACATATGTATGTACATATGCATATACGAGGGTCTGGGATGCACACAATTTCAGCGGTGAAGGCAGGATTGGATTGGGTTGACGAGTGATAAGTCGATACAGTGCTTGCAACGTTTCTACACACCCTTTAAATTTCCAATTAGCACTCGTGTAACATTGCTTATATAAATTGCAAATTAATATCTGGTAAAATGTATTCGCTATAGCGATATCTTTTAAAATGTTTCACGAAACACACACCGCAGATTAAACACTTTTAAGCACTGAGATTGGCTACACAAATTTTTTTTCCTAGAAATAAAACTGCGCCCACCGATCGACTAAACTTTCGCTTGACTCGCTCCAACTTCGCTCTGAAAGCAACTAAAATAATTGACGTATCCAGTTTTCTCACACTTTTTCTTCATTTTTATTTGGTCGTACGTTTTTGGTTTAACTTTTATCACAGCTTCTGTGCGCACTATTGTTTTGATTTTTGTGAAAGTGCATTATTTTGTTTTTGGCTGAGGCGGTGGGGCCAAGCTGGAGCTGACCAGGTACGAAGAAACGTCAATTGAAGCATTGACAGCTGCCAGCATTGCCACATGTCAGTACGCAGTCCGTGTATTTGCATGAAAAAGTGGCTTTTAATGCGCTTTAACTAATGTGCCGCATATTAAGGCGGATTCACCGTTCCTGTCCGGACACTTTTTGTTAGTAATTTTACGCGTTCCTTTCCCAACTTGTCTCACTGAGAGCGCGACAAAAATGTGCTGAACACTCTTTGTTCGAATCAAATTTATTTTGATTTTCTGTCGGAACGACTTGATGATTCGGGTTGCCGCGTTCTCCTTAATATGCGTTTGCAGTAAATTGAATGTGTTATTTGCCCTAAAAATCGTATGTAGGCAACAATATCATCAGCTGTTTGCTTCAGAACAAAATAAAATGTGCCGAACTGAACGGTGAACCGTACTTCAGCACCCTCTCCGGCAAAAATGTTTTGAGAGCAAATAAAAAGTTGTCCGGACACGAACGGTGAACCCGCCTTTATTGACCTTAAATTATTGTCTTAAAATTTTATTTTCATTGCTCAAGTAAAATCAAATTAATTAACAGTCACCAAGTTACAGCACTTTAATAAACACATGAAAAATTGTGCGGTGGCAATCCTAGCTGGGTTGAGTATTTGACGCAAACTTTCAAGCCGTTTGTGGAAAATATCGCATAATTTGGTTTGCGCCAGCAGTATTTGTGGCTCACAATTTCTCTGTTATGAATACCAGTTCAAATTCAACAAGCTTTCATGAATTCTGGATAGAATTCATTGAGCTTTACAAGTCCAAGCCAGTGCTGTGGAAATATGGGACTGAAATCTATAAGGATCGAAAAGGAAAGAAGCTTGCCTATTTGGAGCTGGTGGAGAAGATGCGCGAAGTTGAGCCAAATGCCACTGTTGATATGGTCAAGAAGAAAATCAACAGTTTGCGTTCATGCTATAGACGCAAGTGGTACAAAGCTCAAGAGGACCTTAAGCTTGGAATAGATGCAGATGTTAAGTGGGTATACTATAAACATTTTAATTTCCTTCGCGAATGCAAGGACACAGAGGAAGATGAGGAGGATAGTTGGAGTCAGTGCGAGGATAGTAGCTTTGTGAGACTTGATAATTCAGAGCCGCAAAGTGATGCAGATGAAAACGATTATATTGTGGAGGTAAGTTCGCAAATACACATATGTATTTGTCACTATCCAAACAAGTTAAAACAACATACAACTTTTGCAGTATGCACCACAGAAAATGAATAGTAAGGGTACATATTATTCGCCTAATCTATCAAAATCAAGCAATGAATTAAAAGATGTCCCATATACTGGCCTGAATAAATCGAACGAAGAGGATGGCATCATGGATATGGCTTTAAAAATATCCGCCCAACATAAATTCTGGATAGCGTTTATTAACTTGTACCGATCAAAGCCAGAGTTGTGGAAACATGGCAGTGAAGTGTATAAGGACCGTGATGCAAAAAAGGTAGCTTACTTGGATTTGGTAGAAAAAATGCGTGAAGTTGAACCGAATGCCGATGTAGATATGGTGAAAAGAAAAATCAACAGTCTGCGTTCGATATATAGAAGGAAATGGCACAAAATGAAACGAGCAATCAGTTTGGGTAAAACACCCGAGGTTAAATGGGTTTATTTTGACCATTTCTCCTTTCTCCACGAGTGCAAGGACCCGCTGGATAATAACGGCAGTTGGAATCACTGTGACGATAGTATAAATACAAAATTTAATTATAACTGCACCGACACAGAGCAGAAAGATATTGACGAAATTGAAGTCATCGAGGAGGTTTGTAAATACTTATGCCTTTGGATACTACAAAATTAAAAATGTTACACTAAACAGGTTTCACTTTTAAATGACTCAAAAAAGGCGGAATGTGAACTACCCTCGCCTAGTCCGAAAAGGATTCGAAATGAGGCAACGGATGTATCCTTTAAGAAATTGAAAGATTCCAATGACGAAGCTGATATTTTGGGTATAAGTTGGGCATATCAATATCGAAGTTTAACCGAAACTCAAAAGCTGTTTGCTAAGAAAGCTATTGACGATATTTTATTTGAAGCTCGCTTAGAGACTCTGCATCGGAATTCAGTAAAGATTAATACGCCAAGATGTGACAAATGTAACAATTAATAAAAAAGGTAAAGTGTATACTAAAAACATTGCGTCAATGTTACGATGCTTACACTTTTTTTAATTGGATAGCACTCTAAATTATGTCTTCGATTCTTACTTCAAAGATACGTCATATTCAAATTAATTTCTTTTATACTATTTTTAATTAAAACATTAAAACTATTTATAGAAAAACTAGATTTACAAGTATATGTATGTACATATGTATAAACGTTTTTGTGTTTTGAACAAACATCTGAGATGAGTTCTTCCTCTAGTAAAGTTACGGCTTTAAATAAAAAATATCACCGTTTTTTAATCTCTTTCAAAAGTTTTGTAAGTCAGATACCGGGTTGTTAAAGTACGAGTGCTAGAATTCTGCGTATACACTTTAAATTGCTCTGAAAGTTTATCAATGAGGGTTCCATGCTGCACCCAACATTTAAGTTTTGTAATTAATATTATGATACAATTAAGAACTTTTGTTTTTAATTATTATTATTATTATTTTTTTATTATAAAGGAAGTCTATATTTTAAACATTTTATTTTTATAGATAACAAAAGTAATACAGCCACAACTCTTCTTTTTCACAATGCATGATCTACAAAATTTGTAAGCTAGTATAAAAATGTCAATATTACAACTTTTCCTGGTAAAAGGTCAGCGTTTTCTTCATCATTTCTCTTGTTACACTGGTAAAGGCTTTGGGTTTTGAAACAATATTGAGTGCTTTCTTATTCTTATCTTAAAAAATAGAGGTTTTAAATTATTATATAAAACATTTAGTATAACTGTAAGGGATAAGCATAAAGAAATAATAGTCACAATAAAGGCACATTAAAACAAAAAAATATGTGGTTATATAGGAGTGAAAAAGTGAAGTTTTCTTGTACCCGTGTCCAAGTATAAACTTCAGTAAGTATAAAAAAGTGTGGATAATAAGTGCGCCGTAACGTTTGCAACATACATATTTATGTAGATATAATTAGGATTATTTCAAATACAATTCCTTAACAAAAGAGTAAACTTCCTGTACATTATATATATATTTGCTTGTTGCTGTGGTTGTTTGTTCAATTATCTTAGATTAGGTAAAAACAATGTGATAGGACAAAATAATCACAAGCAATTGTTTTTTTTTGGTCGGCGTTTTTAGTACAATTAATTTAAATGGTTTTCATTTACGCGCGCTACAAGCTCATCTTCATCCTCGTCCGCCACATCTTCTGGTTCAATTTGCTCGTCCAAAGTCTCAAGTTTCTGGCTTTTCATGCGCAACTCGAAAACTTCGCTGATCGCCTTGCGGAAGCACAGAAAATTATAGTCGATCACACCTTGTCGATTAAAATTCTCTTCGCGTAATATACAGACCAATGCAAGGAATTTATTTACTTCCCGCAAATAAAAAATCGTATTGTTATTAAGCTTAATGAGACTAGAGCTTTCGTGATCAAAGGCGGTTTCTTCGGAGCTGTAGAGAATCAAAAGCGAATTCATATAATATTTAAGCCAGAATTCAGCCATCTCGGCCTTACCTATAGATGCTTGAGAGATCGATGACCACATCGATCATGTCACAGCAGAGCTCATAACTCTGCATATCCACTGGCGAACAATCGGTGGCGATGTAGATTTTCGAAACCACATCAAAGAGGAACGCTTTTTCGATACCTGAATGCTGAGTAAAGTGTAAGGACAGTATTATGTATTTTAGTAGAATAAAATAAAATGCTCACTTACCGATATAAAAATATTCAGCAAATTTTCCAACGTCGGTAGCTGTGGTATTAATTTTTGCACTACTTTGGAGAACGCTTCAAATATTGAGTGATCATAAATGGAAGTTAGATGGAAACTTAAATGTATCTGATTAAGACCTGCATCGCTCAGGTCGTCTGAGGCGCGCTGATGTATGTCACGCTGTGATTCCATTTTTGAGTCATCGCTAATACCATCGACCTTTTGCATGAAAAAAGATTTACATGTTTATTTGTAGCCTATGCAATAGTGAAACTTTTTACAAAGCCAAACAACTAGGAAAATCATTAATTAAAAATAATGAAATTCATACATATGTACATATATATATGTATGTGTGTGTGTATGCATATAAGTACCTACAAAGTTTGCTCGTGTGAAGTATTTAATTTAACAACTGTTTATTTCTCACAATTATTACTGATAACGCTTTCAATGCGTCAACAACGCCCATCACCACACAAAACTGTCACATGCATAATAAAATTTGTATACCTTGTGTATGAAGACTTCAAATTTAATTCGCGGATTTACTTTATATGCCTTTATAACGGTGTTTTTGAACTTCGTTAGTGCTTCATTGTAGTCATCCTTGGCATCGATTACAAACACCAAAGCACCGCAACCACCAAAAATCATATCGGAATCAAATGTAGGGTCTATGAAGTCTATTTGTCCTGGAAAGTCCCATATCTGAAACTGCACAAAGCTGGAATTGTTAATGTCGTCCTTCACGATTTTGCTCGTTGATTCTAAAAATAGTGTCTCATTTGGTGACATTTTGTGGAAGACCACTTTCTGTATTGAACTCTTGCCGGATCGACGCAAACCCATTAGCAGGATGCGAGGCTTCGATTCACCACCGCCCATACCGGGAGCGTCTAAGCCATCCTGATCGAATGACCCATAACCAAAGTCCTTTGGGAACGTGTCCACGTGATAGTCGTCTTCCTCGTAGCTCTTAAATGGTGATACAAAATACCTATCGCTGCAGTTATCTGGCTTCCAATATTTGGGGTGTGTTTAGCTTACCATGATATTGTGCTCTATTGGCGTTTCGTTTAAAACGCTTCACCGCTCTACATGCATTCAATGGCTGATTGAGTTGTGGTGATTGTTGCTGCGCTATAATTTCGCACTTATCACGTTTGTTTATATTTATACGCACTTAATATTTTAGTTGTTTTTTGTGCAATTTCCCAACGCTGGACAAAAAACCACTTTAAGCTAAATCACAAAAACAGCTGACGATGCCATGTGTCAAAAGTGACGTGCCAATTGCTTTGTTTTTTTAATTTGCGCAAATAGCCCCAACTCTAATCAGAAAAGCCCCAACTGACAGTTGAACACCAGCTGAGTATTCATTTGACGTTTCATATCGCATGCATTTCTTCCGTTTGTGCAGATTGTTTAGAAAATCGCGTTTTTAATTCTTAAATTTCTCAAATGGCTACTCGTGGTGCAATACTTTTAGGGCAATGCATGCCTTGCATTAAAAAAAACGCTTCCAAAATACGCATACGACGCATGGAATTCGATAAGAATCTGAACATGGTGAGATCTAGAAATTTGTGCTATCGCTCTGTAGCTAACACTTTTTACGTTTTCTGCAGTATTTCAAAAAAGATGAATTCTTTTTTGCTCACGATCCTGAAAAAGTGTGTAAAACAGGCGATGTCGTGCTAATAAGTGAGCTGCCGCAACGTCTGACCCGCCTAATCTCGCACAAAGTGGAAAAAGTTGTATATCCATTGGGTGACATAACAGATCCACTGTCTGGCAAGAAAGTTGTTGTCGGAAAATACCGCGATGAGATTGAGGAAGCGAATCGGTTGTATGGTAAATCTGAGAAGGCCTTCGACTATGAGAAAGCGCCGCCGCGTGGACGATTGGAGGGTACCAGAGACTTTACGCATGGCGAAACCTATATTAAGTACCATGAAGATGGCAAGGAACAACCTTTTGCTGTTTAGTTCATTAGTGTGACTCTTTTAAGATAAAAAATATAAGTTGGAAAGTTCAAATTTATCAGGTTGGATCATTTGAAGGAAAGTCAACAACATGTAGCTAATGTAGTTTATATTTATGTCGTAGCATGTATTATCCTTTTCTAATGTCTAAATGCTGATTCGTCACTTTCCAATATTTTCTCATGCATATCGAGTGCTTATATTCAATACCCTCTATCTGCTATTTTCACAAAAACTATTTTGTGATGTTAGAACCCATCTGGGACTTGCCTATCATGACTGATGTTAATTCAAATTTAATAGTAAATTCCTCCGTTAAGCGCTATAGAAGGTCAACATTAATATCACCGATAACAGTTAAGGCTTAGGTGGATTTTTATATCAGAATCTCATTTTTGTGAAAAGTGCAGATAGTGGGTATTGAATATGTATAAGCCCTCGATATATTTAGTTGCTACCTTATATGCAATAAAATTGAATATGTATTTTTCTAAATTTCAAATTCGACGGAACTAAGGACAAGTTTTCGTCTACATGGGAAATACGTCAGGATATCTGCCAAACTAACCATCCCATGACGTAACCAAGAACCCTTTTTGGGAATTTTTATGCTGTTACAACAGCCATAACAACAACATAATCTATTTCTGAAAATTTTTACATGTCAAATAATCATGATTCAATAATTACATTATTATTGAATAATTAATATTAATGAATAATTAATATTATTCAATCATGGCAAATGATAACGTTTTTCAACAAGTTTCCCAAAACGAGTTGTGTGCCTAATTAGACTAAATACGAACCTATCGGAAGCCGATAATAATATAACTATTATCAGGCAGCAAAATTCTCTAGAACACATGCTATAATCAGGAACGTACATAAAAATATCTTAATGGGGGTTTATATTATAAACGATTTTTAAAAATCCATTTACCCCATACGTTTTAACGATTTTCATTGGAGAGTATAGGAAACCGACTTCGGGAAGACGTCCATAATGTTTGAATTCAATATATATGTATATCGTGTTCGTATGGAAAAGCAGCTTATGTCGAAAGGCTTTAGTATAAATCGGCATTCGCAGCACACGATTGCGAATGATTCGCTGGGGCTGAGCCGTTGCACAACTTTTGGCAAATAAACGTGCAAGAAATAGTTCCGATACTAGGAAGTCAATATTCTTATTAAGTCTCATCAAAAAATTCCTTGTCATTTAAAGAATAAAAGGAATGCCGCATTATACTAAAGCCAGCCTTTTGACTTTTCCATATGAACACAGATATGTATATATACGTATTTGGATAATTACACTGTGCAAAATAATTCCAAAAAGTTCAAATCGTATGAGTAACATTCTCATCTCGTCTGGGTAACTCATACGCCATGTAAATACGTACGTTCGAATTAACTTTGCGGTGATAAATGGTCGATCAAATATGTATCCACCATTTTGAATTTTTAAAATCGGATTGCAGATTTATAATCAGTAACCTTAAGAACCCCAATTGTAAAGTTTAAAGCGAATCCAATCGATTTTAATTTTTTTTGTCCACCATATTGGGTCCGCTAATTTGAACTTTTCCAATGTTACTTCTGACTCGTAATCAGCGACTCCGATAGAATTTTGGGCAGAGCTTTGGTCCGTTTGACATATGTATGTACATATGTAGATCGTCCCATATATGTGTATACATCATCATCTTACATTCACAAAGGCCCTAATCAACATTTTTTTCGAAGCTGCGTTCTTCACAGATTTTGGTAGGAGGATTAAAAGAGACCTTCACTAAAAATTTGAAAGTGTTAGTACCAGAGTTGTGAAAAATGCATTAATTTTTTAAGCAATAATGGTAATGTAAAAAATTAATGCATTAATTTATGAAATTTAATGCAAATGAATATTTCAGTGCATTAATTCTGAAAAATGTAATGCTAATGAAATTTTTGTTTCATTAAATTATCCAAGCTAATGCTAATGAAAACATTTTAATGCACTAAAATGTTTAAATGCTTTTGCTCGTTTGCATTATTAAAAACCATTAATTTTTTTTTCTAGTAAAATATAAATAACCTCTTTTGGAAGGACTTGTTTTATGAAAATGAAAGCCAATGTGCATGCAACGCAGAGTGCTTTTGTAGATTTTTGTGTTGATTGTTGATGCATACCGATTACATATATTAAGTATGAGCCAAAAACGGACAGATAGCCAGTTTAGCAGCGCATGTACACGACTGAGGACCTACTCTGACCTAAATCAATCAATAAACCGTTTTTTAGCTCCATTTGACAATGTGATTTTACCTATTTAACGACAAATGCCATTGAACTTGACATAGTGAAAACCAGCCTTAACGTCCGTCACTATCTTTTTTGACCTTAAAATTGTACCCTCAACGTCAGCAAAGAATTTTTACTTCAAAATAAAATTAGTTAATGGGTTTTTAATGCTTGTTATAACTTTAATGCAATAAATTATTGCAATAGCATTCATTTAAACATTTTAATGTTAATACAAAAAAAGAAATCATTAGCATTATTTCTTCGGAATTAATGCATTGAAATTTTCATTTACATTAAATATCAAAATTTAATGCATTAATCTTTTTCATTTACATTAAAATGCCATGCATTAAAAAATTTAATGCATTTTTCACAACTCTGATATATACATACAGTAAGTATTATAGCGACTTTTGCTCGAGTAGCTAACATTTGATGCTATTTTTTTTTGCACTGTATTGTTAGGTTAGTTTGTCGCGGTCGTGTCTATAAGACACACTTAGGTTCAGAGCCCATTGTGATGCCGCATGTGCGGTCAGCAACTTCCAATCCCCCTAAAACCAATTTGAACTTAGAACGAATTTTAGAAGATCCCTGATTTCGAGGCATCTAAGGTCCTCCAAGTTGTCGAAGAATTGCCTACCGAGAGTGGAGAGTCTTCGTCTGGATAGAGCAGGGCACTGGCACAACAGGTGCAGAATCGTTTCCTCCTCCTCTTCATCTTGACAACTTCTACAGAAGTCGTGTAAGCGAAGGCCAAGTCGATAGGCGTGCTTGCGAATTAGGCAGTGTCCTGTTATGACAAATACTAGTAATCCAATATTGGGCTTATTTAGACTCAGTAGTAGGCCAGTGCGTTTGGCGCGGCGCTGAGTCCCGGCCATAATTGTCTGGCAGTTCTGCAAGTGATTTCGTCCTGCCCCCTGTCGTTCGCTACTTTAGTAAGCCTCTCGGAGATAAGTAGCTTGCAAGTTTGCAAGGGTATTCCTATTTCGTCATTTATATCGTCAAAAGGAAATTTCGTGCCGAGTCGCGCCAGCTCGTCGGCCTTACAGTTCCCCTCTATGCCGCAGTGACCCGGAACCCATACCACCTTTGGGCGAAATGACTCAGCCATCTCGTTAAGAGATGCGCGGCATTTCATGGCTACCATGGAGGTTGTCGACTGCTTCGTGAGGGACTTTATTGCCGTCTGGCTGTCAGTGAAGATGTAGATATCAACTTGGGGTATCATATCACACTTTACCAGTTTAGTGGCCCTGTCGATTGCCATCAGTTCAGCCTGAAAAACGCTAAAGTGGTCAGGGAGACGAAAGCTTATGGAGATTCCCAGGTGATGTGAGTATACTGTATTGTTAGTGGACATGAAACTACTTTAAATACTGGTACGTTAACCACCAAAAACTAAAAATCGAAGAAATTTTACATAGAACACTTTGCAAGTGGACTACTCATATGTCTGTAAGTATGAATTTTGTGAGCGAAAAAAAAAAAAATAAAAATCGTTGTACTTTTTTATTTTTTAACCCTCAATTCACAACTTCAAATCGATATAAAAAGGAAATGCGATTCAACATTTACAAACGCTCTGGTATTTATTCATACATTGACCTCTTTTAATGAATGCAATAACACCCTGCTTTTTTTTTAAGGTCGGTTGGAATAGATTCAGTTTTTATTTTCTCAAATGCCCTCATAGTAAATGCTCAAGACCGATTAAACAAAAATTACTTATTTTTCCTAATACGGACATGAGGGCCTCACTCAGAGAGTTAAAATCAAAAATTACCGACATTTATCACCGTACAGGATCGTACAGGTTTACCAGGGTGGCCTGCGACCCTTTCTAATTGCTTGTCACCAGGGTGACAATCCACTTAAACCAGCCAACCCTTCATCTGAACCAATGAATTTATTAAGGGGATTCACAAAATGTGTTAACCGTCGTAAAATTTTAAGCTTAACATTTGTTTATGTAAAATAACGGTTAAAACATTTAACATTAAACAATTTTTTTTTATCAGTTTAAGAACATTTCGGTGTTGCTAGAAACCCTCTAAAACCAATTTAATAATTATTTTGCAGGGAAAACGTTAAGCTTAAGATTTTAAGACAGCTAACACGTCTTGAGAATCCCCTTAATGTATTTTGAAGTGAATTGTTTTCGTTATTTTCTAGTTAAAACACATGTGTTATTTATTTTTGTACCGGAAATAAAATATAAGAAAAATATTTATAATTGCATATTTTACTTGTTTATAGTGCATATTTTTGAATTTATAGTGCATATTATATGGGCATATTTTAGATTTTTTTGTGCATGATATTCCGAGAGCTAGTAATTAAGTACCGTCACTCGCGTTACTGCAAGTGTTGTCAAATTTTTTTTTCGGAGGCACTATTTTATTCAAGTCTAGCTATGTTAAACGTAATGAGTAATGACGTGACTTATTTTCAATGTGGTTTAATATATTTCTAATAACCTAGGCCTATTACTAACTTAAAAATAACATTTTGGTTTTTTCGCCTTCATAAATCTCTGTCATGAAAGGGTTCGGAAAGATCGAAATGAATAGAGTCGCACTTTGTTATTTTTCCTACAACTTTGTTTTAACATTGGTGTTTTAATTTACAGTTGCAATATTGTAAACCTTTAATCTTCTAAAAAATATATACTCATATAGTGCAATGAGTTACCACCAAAATTTTTTTCTATTGGTTTGACGACTTGATGGCGCCAACATGCTGGTATCGTGTATGGGCCCAACCCAAGCAAAACTTCTCTTTTCAAATAATTTTTTTTTTTTTAAATCTTTTATTTAAATATTCAGTTTCCATTTATATATTTTAGCAGTGGTTAAAATCCTTATTTGCTTTTCATCTCAAGGTTTTAAGGTGCCCTCAATGTTTTCTGTACTCATCTGTTTACAAGCTTTGTTTTTTTTTGTTTTTATATACACTACAATTTGATTAACTTCCATTTTTCTAACAATTCTTTTATAGGTATGTATGTATGTATGTATATACGAGTATGTAAAGTAGAACTAAACTAAGCACGTATTTTGTAATTTCTTCATTTTCCCCAAACACTTGATAATTTTTATTATAATCAATTTTTTTTTCTTCGCTCTTTCTAAACCAATTTAAATAATGCATACGCTTGTATGTTTTTGTATGTATGTATGAATGTATTTCATTTATGAATGTATTTTATTTACGAGTAGAATTTTGTTTGGTTGCTGGTGGCTGTTGGCTTTTTCAAATAGTTCTCTCTGCTATTGCCGATTTGCGCGCTGAATTTTTGTTCTTTTCTGATATCGAATATCGGAAATTCCGTTAATTTATCACTAATCACAATCTCTTACGATGCTAAAGTTGTACTGCAGTAAAGTGTTTGCTTCGTGTGCTGTCTCCTGGCAAATATTTTGCTACAATCAAGAACAATCATTAAAGATTTGCTAAAATGCTAATAGCAGCTAATATGGATGGCTCTTTACCTTTTTCGAATCGTTGGTTGAGGCGCGCAACGCCAAACTTCGCACGAAATAGCCCCGACTTGGAATGTTAAAGTAGATGAGCGACACGTTCGCTTGACGCTGCACAATGTTTGCGCTGAGCTGATGGGCAGATGATTGCAACAAATGTGCGCCCTGGTGTTTCGTCAGCTCGCGGTTACTGCAAATTGTCCACAGTAGCGGCACGCTGGAGCTGTGAAGCGTAAAAAAAATTAGATTAGCCAAAATTCGAGAATAGATTTTCTCATGCTCTCCCTTCTCTGCACTCACGTCAATTGCAGTTGTATGCTAGACTCTTTGAAAAATCTCGATAGCGGTATTATATAGGTCATGTTCAGTGATTTGCCACCGTGTGGGCAATGATGCTCCATGCCAAAGGTTTCATTTTGGCTTTCGGCGATCAGACAGCTATTTATCTGCCAACATTCGGTTTGAGTTGTTGCTGGTCCAGCTTGTATTTCCGAAGATGCACCGCTTACTTGTGGGCCAAGGGCTTCGTCTATCGCCTTACCATCAATGTCAATGCGTTCATCGGAGCTGGACGCATCTTTTGAAGAGTCCGAAAGGTCTGAACGCTGTTCGCTGGACACCTCGACCACTTGAGTTTTTTTATCCGTTCCAATGAAGGTGGCATTTGCCGACAGTATTGGCGTGGCCAACGAGCGTGGCTGTGTATTGACATCGGCATCACTATCGGCACTATCGGAATTTGTGTCTGAAACTTGTTGTATGTTTTCGTTGGCTGTCAGTTTCTCTGTTGGCATTGTATCTTCTTTGCTGTGTGCTGTGCCTGCTAAGTTGGCCTGTAGCAAGGGCAACTGATTAGATTCTTCGAAGCAAAAGGACTAAAAGTAAAAAAAAAAATTTCAGATTAGTCGGATTTAAAGGTCAAACGGATAGTTTGGGTAGAAACCCATACGCATTGAGAATGGACGATGTGGATGCCGAGAAGAGGGAAGTTCTTCTAACGCAGGCAATTTAAATACATACCTACATCCCATGTATGATTCTTGAGAGCGTAGAAAGACTAAACGCTTAAGCAGCAAACAAAAGGGTCTTCCTTGTATGGGTCCCAGGGCACAAAAGCATAGAGAGAAATGAAGAAGCAGACAGGCTCGCCAAGGAGCCGGCAGCAACAACACCAATAGGCTTCTAGCCCTCCAAAGCAGAGCTTAGGAGAGAAGAAAGGGCAAATAGAGAGCTGCAATGGAACCAAGGCATTGGGCACCGCCCGCCAATGAAGCTATTGGGGGGCATACAAAATGAAAAACTTATTTACCTCCCAAAGAACAAACTACGAATTTTAACAGGTATCTTAACAGGTCATTGCAGATTGAGAAGTCACCTACACAAACTCGGGATCTGGTCCACTGCTTTATGCTATTTCTGTGAAAGCACCGCTGAAACTTCTGAGCACACAATCCTCGAATGCGACGCAGTAGCGAGTAGACGAGAGAAATACCTGGCGTCACTAAACCAGCAGACGACTAACATGCACTCCATGTCACCCAACAATCTACTCGATTTCCTAAGGATGTTACGACTGACCGTGGTGCTGTAAGGAGCACGAGGGCACAATAGATCTTCTGGCCGCAGTACATCCCTCAACTGAATATCTATCTATCTTATCATCCGTAGCATCTTATCAGCCTGCTAACCCACATACTACCTTAGATTTGTTTAACAGATGCCATTTCTACTTCAACATTCGTTATTTCTTCTGCAGATTGAACTTATTGAATACCCAAATTTTATGATATCGACTAATGGCAATCAGCTTGGTGAAGACACCTGTGAGAAACCTATAACCCCATATCAATTTTGGTCATTGAATGACATGCAAACTCTTCAATCATCTGAGTTGCTTCATTAAACATTTGCGACACCTAAATATGTTCGTGACCCGAACTTTAAAGATATTTCATTCCTTTCCATATTTTTTAGTCGGAAAACCCAGTAGTAATGAGATCTAATGACAAATTTTACGCACAACACGCTCCGAGAATCGAGCTAATTTGGAGAGGTCTATCTCATATGTTGGAAACCCACTTGTTTGAAAGACGTCTTAAACTTGAGATCAAGAGATGTGAAGAGCTAAAAAGATAGATTAGGAAGGGCATATAACGAATTGTGAAACAATCGGAGTATAAGCAGATAAGTGTAGAATTGTTTAAGTAACTCTGGCACGGATTTCTGTAGACTCTCAAATTAACTCGCTCGTTTCATTGAGGTTAAACATCTTAAAATTGCCGAAAAAACTCCCCTACTCAGATTTAATAATCATCTTACCTGACAGTTAGACACCTCATCGTTGTTTGGCTTTTGTGAGCATTGTGGCGGTACGCCGAACATCTCTACCTGCACAAGTTTACAATATATTCGTCCGACACTGCGCTGCGAAGTCGATCTGCGTCCTAGCACCGATTCTCGACCTAAGCCGAAGTCGAATCCAAACCATGCCGTGATGGGATTATCCACAGACTCATTGTTGTTGCTTAGGCTCTGTAAGTCCAATAGATCTGTGCTATCCAATCTGCTCTCCAGCACCGCTTGACTCTTGTTTGAGATCGCGGGTACTTCCAGTGAGTAATTATTCGGTATGTTGTCTATCGTTACCTTGTTGGTAGTAAGCGGCAGAAGCGCAGAAGGTGGCGAGACTGCCTTATAGACATTGCGCGAACGGTGACTGTAGGCAGGGGCAGTGGTATCTGGCACATTATTGTTAATGTTGATGTTGTTGTTTCTACTGTTTTCACTGTGGTTGACATTATTTTTGCTATTTACATCGCTACTGGACGTGCTTACAATGGGACCAATCGAATCGGCAATAATTTCAGCATTCTCCGATAGGGCTTCCTCAGGTGAACTGGCTGGTCGCACAGCCGAATCTCTGACAGCCGTAGTCTTTTTAGTAACATGTTGAGCATCGATATCGATGGAATTGTTGTCAAAGTCGTGTGCCAATGGTACCGTGTCGGTAACTTTCTCCGAAGATGTTTCATTAGTGGCCAGCGACTCGGCGCGCTTTTGGTTTGCTGTTAAATTGACGCTGCTCTCGGGCTGTGTGCTGCTGGTGCCTCGTGTGTTCTGGAAGGATGCAATTATCTTGGGCACAACTTGGGCCTGCGGCCATTTGGATTTATTTTTGCTGCTTATTGTTTTATTGATACGCAATTGCGGTGCTGTAGTCGTCACTTTAAATGTATCCTTTCGGGGATGCAGTGGCTGCAGACTAACAAGCGGTTTCTCCATGACGACCGTCAGTTCATCAGTGCGACCATTCGGCGAATACAAATCGCCAGTTTCGTCATAGATGATTTCAGGACGAGAGCGCGTGAAATTTCGATGACCAGGCGGGCGTGATGTGCCCCCATGCTGTAGAGTTTTATTCCTGCTAAGCAGGTTATGTACTTGCACGATGTAGCCTTCTTGCTCATTTATGAGGACCGAATCATGGCCAAGTAGTTGGCCGTTGCTGTGGAACTGTATGCGATCCAGTTGCTTGTAATTGTAACTTTGTTTATTGTGCTCAACGAAGTACAGAGTGGAAACAGCAGCCAGGCTGTAACGAGCGATTAACATGCAACGAACATGAGTATGTTTATACATAAAAATCGAATAGCCCATAAAAAGAGCCTGAAGCTTAATGAAAATTCTTTATTAAAAATTAACTCGCGAGTTAATTTTAAATACTTTTCTCCCCTGCTTTGAGAGGGCAGCTAAAGGTGTCAACCTTAAGTAGCAAATATGTATGGATATGTTCTACCTAAATAGAGTCATTTTGCTTGCTATAAAAAGTAATATATGTAATATATCTCTACTAAATACTTTATTTAATTATTGCAAAAGGATTTAGCCTCCTTGCGGAAGAATCGAAAGAAGGGTTCGATTTATGGATTTACTTACCATGCAGCCATAACGATTACTAATAAAAATATAACTATCTGCAAGGACTTGTTCGAGCATATCTCATAGCCACCACGTAGTCCACAGGCCTTTCCGATGCGATATTTCTTACTCCGTTGCTCGAACTCGTACTGTTTTATCAGCCGATTGTTGCGCTCCAAATCCTCGATGCGCGTCTCAAGCGATCCAGTGACCTTGCAGAGCTCTTTAACAGCGCCAATATTTTCCATTAGAATCCGATCCTAGCGTGAATATGCAATATATATATATATATATAGTTACGAACAAAACAAACAAAGAAAAATTGCGTCTTTAATACCTTATTGACCAGCAGAAAGTTTTCGATGACATTGCCATTTGGCAGTACAATACTGCCAGCCTCTTTTACCGCATCGGGTATAACTTCGCGCACCTCTTGCGCAATTACGCCAGTGTCGACGATCTCCTCGGTGTCGCTCTCGCACGAACGCTTTAGGCCTGAGTGAACCGCGAATTCTGGTGCGTACCGATAGCGTACGATGCGTATTTTTTGCAGGTTACGGAGCTGTACTGAAGTGTCCAACTCGCCGATCTCGTGTTTCGCACGACTGTCACTGGGCTGCACTATGTGGCCGGACACTTTCAAATTACCATGCACAACCAAACTCTCGTCGGGACGATCAGTGTTGATACCAACACGTCCAGCGTGAAAGATTGAGTCCTGCGTGATACCGCGCTGCCAGCAGAGATCCACATCCGATTCGAATTGACCGGGATTTGAGGCCCGCACAATAATGCGTTCACTACCCTGACTGATGATTGGAAAGTTGCCAGAGATGGTGTGTACGTGGAGACCCACCACCAGCTGGAAGTAGCGTTGTTCGGGATTGGGACGTCCCTTCTTTCGCATATTGTTATTGGTAGTCTCCGAAAAATGTAGGCGGCCCACTGTGACTTTGCTAACAATGTGACTCTGGAGATCGATGCTGAAAGAAAAGCGGAAAGATTATTGCTGTTAATAAAGAGTACGACGAGGTGAACTTACGGCACAGGATAGAACGGTTTCTTGGAGCGATCGGATTGACTCTGTTCTACGCGTATTGTCTGATTTGGCGCTTCCAACTTCACTCCATAAAAATGTAAATGGAAGGAGTTGATTTTCTCCAGACCGGACGGTGTCTTGACGAACTTTGCATCCCCTTGCAGACGCGCGTGGCAAGTAATTTGAAAGTGGTTCTTCTTTTGGCAAACGAATGCATCATCGGACACGGAGAAGTTGAAGCCTTTGTCTGCGTCCACTCGGTAATAAACTACCGCGATTTCCTGCAAGCTTTGATCGCAGAGTTTGTGCCAATTCTGCGGCTGGAACGGACTGAAACGAATGCAGGGTGTAAGAGCATTACTATCGCCACCCTCACCGCCGCCACTTGGCGCACTGCTGTTGCCATCGAGACTGTTGTCCGGATTCGAGTTAATGGTCGAAAGCGCGGGAGATAGCGAGGCAGCTGAGTGCGCGGGCGTGCTGCTAATGTCACCCGCCGCATGAGCGGGTAGTGCGATGCTAACTGGTGATGAGGTGCCAAGCTTTTTCAGATCCGAAGCTGTTGCAGCGCCGCTCGTCGGACTCATTCTCAAGCTGGGATCTGGCTTAATGCTGGACAGCTCAGGGCAATCCAACTGAGTGGAGAGTTTACGTTTGCGGGACGCGGACAGATGCACGGGTGTAGAGGGCAAAGATGAGCGACTGTGTTGCGGGGGGATCGCTTGACTCGTGCCGACCAATTGCACACGAGGCACATCGTTCATCGGCGACGTGAGTGCGCAGGATGTGGCGAGTGTCGGCAATGTATCCAAGCCATTTACAATGGTAACACTCGGATAATTCACCGATGGAAAAGTGCCACCGTGTAGACTCTCGTACGACAGCATATTGCTGGTATTCGCGTTTTGTTGATGATTATTGCCCGCTGAGTGATTCGAGAACATAAACTGGTGCGGTGGCGGCAATTCTATGTGGCCGTGACCACCGCTCTCATCGCTATGCGCATGCGTCATGCTAGAGTTTCCGTGTGTAAGTTGTGTATGTGTGTGTGCAAGTGTTGCTGGGTCCATGATGAGGCCTGCCTCGTGCTTCACACGTATTCCACCCATTGTGTCGCTTGGTGGCGCTGTTGGAGAGTGATTGTGATTGTAATGCAATTGAATAGAGCTATTGTTGTTGGAATTGTTGTTATGCAGCTGATGTTGCTGCTGATGGTGGTGATGCGATGCTTGTGTTTGTGTTTGGTGCGGTGGTGTGAATTGTGACTGCAAATGCATGTCAGACTGCAGCGCCGAAAGACCATTGTAGACGTCGCGCGAGGTCAGCGTTAGGCCATGAACGTCTTGCAGCGGACTGTAGGGCGGCTCCGAGCCTGAATCGGGCGGACTGTCAGGCATGTGCGGTGTACTCTGGCTAACTACGCTTGAAATCGGTGTTGCTATTGGTGTGGATGCCAGGCTGACACGCGCAGATACGCTGACCAATGAAATATTGCCATCGACTGGATGCGGTTGTTGTTGATGTGAGTTATGTTGTTGTTGGTGGTGGTTTTGATTTTGATTTTGATTTTGGTTTGAATCGGTCTTGGAGCCGCAGCCTAGCGGATGACCGCGTGTATTACTTGCATTGCCGTTGCTGCTGCAATTATTCTGTGCATCCAATTGACCAACGGCAGCTTCAACCTGCATGAACTGTTCCAGATTACCGAAATCGATTGCCTCATTGTCGATGCCTCCAATGAAATCGGATCGATCTGTTGGGGCGAAGATAGATGGATAAATGGATATATGTATTTATATGACTTACATATATGTAGTTGTATGAGGTTGTATTGGTTGTATGAGGAAGCTGAGACCAAACTGAATTAGTCATCACGCAAAAAGAATACCCAGTTGGTATCCTCCTATTAATATGCATTCAAAATTGTCATTTGTGTTAAACTTAGTTTTTCTTTTACGCATTCCATCTTGGAATATATGTACATGTGTATATATAGCATTAAGATCCAAGTGAGAGGCGAAAGTCTTAAAATCAAGTTGAGTCAAAATTGGGATACTGATGACAATTCCATTTGCTGAATTTGGGAAGTATACTTTTAGCAGAAGTTATTGCTGCCACTGAAGGCAGATGTACCTTGGAACATATGCCAGGCAGTGAAGGTATACCGGGAGCATAGAATGGAAGGGAGGCAGACGTCTACACTCAAAAGGAAGAAACGGGAGGCAAAAAGCATGAGCAAACAAAAGGTTTAAGGAGTGAGTCTAGATCCTACGGACACGAAAATAAAAAAATCTGGTGACAGTCGTCCAGAGTATATACACTCGAGATATCGTGGCAACAAGAGGTGGACGAAAGTGGTGCGATTGCTTAAGAAGAACGCAGAATAATGTAAAGAGAGGATGCTCACTTAATGCGACTTAAAAGAAAAATTCATACAACATCTCCACCCTAAAATTGGAATCTCAGTGTTATTTGCCGACGTCTTTAAGATCTCTGGGCCTGTTCGCGTGGGCGATGGATACCGAAGAAGATAAAATGAATTACCTATGACAAAAAAAAAGGTTCAGAGTGTCTCTGCATTCAACAAACGCCCGAAACCCTTATTATGGACTGTAAGAATCCCGTACCAAATTTGATCAGCCCGTGTTGGTCACAATAGATACGAACAGACGAGTTTTGTAAATTCGAAGGAAATATTGCTGTTTTTCGTCCTGTTGGTTATGTCTGTAGAATGTTCACAAAATTGTAGACACTTGAGACTCATAATCTCTATTCTTCGCATTAAATCTATCACGGAGTATGCTAATGTTTAAAAAATTATAGGTTAGTATAAAAAAATATGTATGAATTTGTAAAAATTATTTGAGATTTATGTTATATACATACATACATACTTACTGTACTATACATACATACATATATGCATTGAGTTAAATGTGAAAATTGATTTGCGGATTTTTTTTTTGCAAACAATGTCATTGTGTTTGATCAATAAATTTTTTACAACAACATAATAAACGAGCACAATTTGGCTGAAATACGAGAAGCTTAGAGCAAACCTAAAGAGTTAGCTGAGGTGAGCAATTAGGGGGGTGTAAACAGGGTAGGGGGTTTGGTTGGTATGACGTGGTTTAATTGTGTGATTATAACTGTTTAGATATTTAATAAGAAGTTTTAAAATATTTGTATGTTATTAAAGGAAGAAAAAACCAAGTGTTGGTAGCAAAAGACATAAATGCAGCGAATAGATTGCGTTAGTTTAAAAATATGGCATCAAGCACTCAGTAAATTTAAAGCTTTTTTTAGCATGCGGAACAATGATAATAGTCCTTCAAGGACGGATAAATTTAATGCTCTATACTTTCCAATACCGCATTTAGCAGCGATATTATGGACTTAAGATTCTTTCGGATTGAGAAATGGAGTATAGAAATTTTAAAATATTCAAAAAAATTTGTTTCGTCTGAAAACTTAAAAGTTTGTTAATATTCGCTTATCGTGTAAGAACACTTTTAGAGGCGTACGAAATAAAGTAGGTGCCACGGTGGCGTATGAGTAACATCTTTTTCATCTTTTATGAAGTCAATAAAATTAAAATTACATACATATGTATGTAATGTTGTTGTTAGTACGTAGTAGAGAGCCACAACCACCATGAATAAGCTGCAGCAGCAGACTCATACACTGCAAAAATCGCGACTACTACCTAAAGGTCAAGTAGTACTCCAAAATCAACCGAAATGCATGTAGTCCAAAATTAATATAGCGATGTTCTAAGGCAGGACCTATATGGTACAGCTCTGCATTACATCAATGTAGCACAAAACTACTCGCAGTGATTATTTCATGGAGCACCAACCCCTCGACAACACAGCACAATAAACATTGTGGACTGATTGCGATCGTTAAAACGCGAGCAATGATCGGGTAACAATAAGCTGGTGTAGAGACACGCGTTGGTCCGGTAGTGCATTACAGAGTAGCATTTTGTAAGTATGTACTCGAATATAGCACAAATGGACCGCAAGGTCCAACGATTTTTTACAGGCGCATGTACATTAGGGTGGTTCAAAATAAGTAAAGTCGGAATTTTAATGCTCTCACCCTCTAGGAGTATTCTATATCGAAAAAATATGCCCCCAAAGTCTCCCATAGTGCCCAAAGTTTTCCATGTATTACATATGGGAAAGAACAACTTGCCGTAGAAATGGTATAGAATTCTTGAAAATAAATATTTTTCGATCGGAAAACTCTGGTCCAGGTTTCAACCTTTCACCTCACACCAGATTAATTGGGAATTAAACATTTTACTATGTTCCCACATTTAGTAGGCTTTGGATTTTCGGGATTTTTCATAATACACAAATGTTTACGCACTGTTATAGTCTTTATAATAAAAATCATAGTTTGCAGCTTTTTACGGAAAATTTTATCGATAATTTATGATTATTTTTTAATAGAAAATAATTGATATTTTCGATACTATTTAGTTCGATCACAACACAGGGAATGCATAGAACCTTAAATTCTGTCTTCATTCTCGTCATCCTTGATTCTGGGGGAGTGGGTTTTTTTTGCCTCTTTATTAACCCTGGATAGTCTCCAGAAATCACTTCGACCATAGAGAAAACACGTATATGGGTAAAACAAATTTCACGAATTTTCAGAATACGAGCTGATAAAAGCGATGTCTATTGAAAAACAAAATTTGACCTCCATTTGACCTTGCCACATACGCGATGGAGCACGTGGACAACGGGATCAGCGGCTCGGAAAACATAATGATCAACTAGACTGACAGAAGGTACGGCTTTGTGGTCCTGTATAATCAAATGCACATGTTCACTTGTTCAATTAGAGTATATCCTCGTATTTTCGGTATTTTTTTAATTTTAATTATAACTAAACTTAGAGTAATATGTACACTTAAGGTACATACATATGTATTCAATCTAGAATTACCGTTTATATTCTTGGGGTATTCCATATTGTTTCCAGTCACTTGTTTTCAACCAGATATAAATGTATATACATATGTATGTAACTGTAGTTGTTTTCGTTTTATCGAATAATAATTCGTTTAGCGCAAAACATTTGCAACAACGCGATTCCGAGTTTGAACACTTGTTAAAATACTGCCGTCATGGTTATTATTGAATACTGCGAATATCTGGTATGTACATACGTACGTATATCAGTTACTACTACAATAGATATGTTATTGTATCGCTTAGTACGAGTGAGTATCCCACGGTTCACAATTCGCCGCCAACTATGTACGTTGAATGTTTTGCAATCGGAATGCAACTGCCACTGCAGATTTTTAATGTTTAACAAAATTTTCGTGCCATGCGCATTTGCTGTAGGCGCACAGCATTAGAGCCCAATGATGACTTCAACCAAAAAAAAAGAAGATAAATTGCATAAAAAAAAAAAATTAATAAAACTAATTCATTGTACTCGTGTGTGAAACTTTAGAAACAAAACGAAAGAGTGAGTGTTGAAGTAAACGCGCAGAGAATGCATTGAACAGTGGAAGCGACAGCATCATGATTGCATCGCTTAGATACAATAATTATCTAATGTGTTGTAAGCGCGCAAAAACGTTTGCTTATAAGCTCGCGAGCTTTAGCGCACTGCTGTGTATGTGTGTGTGTGTGTGTGTTTCGTGCGACTGCAGCGAGGCGGTTTTGGGTGGCGTTGCGTCCAAGCTGCGCAGATCTCAGCTGAGCCGCGGTTGATGCACTTCACAATCGGTTGAGCATCAGTGAAAATTATAAACTCTTGCACATACATATGTACATACGTCAAGCACCTAGCAAAACTACAAAAACAACAATGCGTATGGTTATACTATTTTATAAAATGCTTCTAATACATACATACATACATACATGTAGGTAAGCTCATTTGTTTGTGGATGTGTATGTGTGTAAACGTACTCAGCAGCAGCTGCAATTGCCATTATCGTGCCGGCATGTAATTATTGTTGTTGGTTGCAAAAAATGGTTACATTAGATAGTATATATATAGTAGATGTAATTCTGTTTTGTTTTCATTTTCTTGTTTTCCGTTGTCGTTTTTTTTTTTTGTTTGTGCATTTTTCTGCGCTGGCAGTTAAGAAGTGAACGATTTAATGCATTGAAAATCCGCAAAAGCTGATGAGAAGCTCATGCGAAACTGATTGGTAAACTGCCATGTACATACATACATACATATATACACTTCGATGGACGTACATTGTATACATACATACATATGTATAAAAAAGTACATATGTATGTAGATGTGAGCGAACATGCAGTTACTGTTTGGCATTACAACATTTTTAATTGTGTGTTAGCGTTGTTGCATTTTAGCTGTCAATGAAACGTACTGCTTACAAAAAAAAAAACAAACTAAAAAACTAAAAAAAAAAATGTTGCACTTCTTTCGGTTAATGCGCTCACACGCCCCATTCGTCATACGTTGCTCTTCAGTGCTTGCCACATGCCGCACATACCACACACGGCCATGGTCACTGTCAAAGTGAATGTGGCAGGTGCTGTGTATTTGTAGAGGGCGGCGATAAGGTGCGACCGAACGGGGCATTACAAATATTCAGAAAACGATAATGGTCGCAAGAATAAAGCAAGTAACTTTTAAACAAAAAACCAACCGACTCGTATGCTCAAATACAAATTTTAATTTTGGAGTACCGTTAGTTCCTTCCTGACCCAATTTCTACTCTTGAGTGGTCCAAAGTTATCCGGTAACATACATAAAAAATATTCCGACAAATTGATAAATACTACTAAATGGGGGAAAACGAGCAAATTAATTGAAGGCGCGTGAATTGCTTCTAAACTGGAAATATCTGAGATCAAAAAAAAAAGATTTTACAAAATCTGTCCATTTCTTATGAATCAGTTGATCTTTGCTTCATTATCTGATGACGACTTGGAATTTGGTTTGGATTTTTTGATCCCTAAGTTGGTGTTTGCGGTATTCTGGCACCTAAATAAGCTGAGCAGAAATGGCTAGCGTGCTAAAATGAGTATCGTTAGTGCTCCCTTCGCATTAGAACTCTATTAAGTTGATCAAAAAAAAAGATACGAGGCTGTAAAGAATGAGTCGCAGGTACATTCAATTTTCTTTGGATGGAGCACTTCTTCTAAGCAAACCCTTCAGAAATTTGGGCAGGTCGCACAGGGATATTTACAGCAGAAACCGCCGTATAGCTCTCCTTCAATGCTAACCTGGGACCCGCACTGGCTGAACCTGTCCAAAGTTTTCAGTTCTGTATAACAGATACGCTCGTGAGAGCTCATGACCGTGAATGCTCTGTAGGGGCAAAGATAAGTTCCTCTAGTGGATCGTAGAACTTTTTGATCTGAAGACCACCTTTTAATAAAGCCCGAAGAATCAAACTGCCTTGTGACTGGAAATTTTATAAAGCTGGCCTGGAAATCTAACGGTCCGAAATTGAAAAGGAAGAGAGGTTTTATGGAGAGCCTTCTGCAAAAGCGTAGAAGAATGTTATGAATTTTCCCAATATAAAAGCAGCCTCACTCCTTTGGGTTACCTGAGCGACGAGGTAGAAAACTGGACTATGAACAGTAAGCAGAATTCCAGGAGAATCCTCCGTCTGGACAAGGCTTGATAAAACCTATAAACGCTAGGAAAAACTAGGGCATGCGCTCAAGGGTGAATAAGAGGCGGTCAGAAGAAGCGTCTAGCTTTTGGTAGCGATTCTGAGAGGTCACTGTTCGAATTGAATTCACGTGGTAAGACTGGAAACCACATGTGATACTTACTGCCGTAGTTGTCTTTCTTCCAGGTCATCAAGCTTTTTCGAAAGTATTTTGGCTCGTGCTTAATAAAAAAACTTGAGGAACCCTCGGGGAATTATTAGTCGCCTCCGTAACTTAGTGATCGGCTCGCGTATCACAAAGGGAGATAACTTATACAGCGAAAATATGTAATTTAATATACGCTACAGTGGAACGAAGTCCAGTGTCCAACACTAAATGTAGTATATTTAAAAAAAAAAGAGTTTCATAAAAAATATGTATGTATGCACATATTTCATTGCAATAAATCTATATTGTATATAATGCGCATATATGTATGCACATACAAGTAATGTGAATTCGAAAAAGGAAATTGTCATTTTTTCGGAACTGGCACTCTGCGCCAATTCAAACACTTGACTTCGCGCCCACCCTGTATAATACGAGAGAAAAAAAAACTATCTACATATATATAAACATAAATAAGTGCATTAAATGAAAATGAAAAAAGAGCTTCTATACAATTTGACACAGTGCAATGCGATTCGATATAATTCGCTGCTATTCGAAGCAACTCGCGATTCGCGAATCCAGTGTTCACGTTCACTGGCTGCACCGGCGTTGCAGGCTAATCGTTAAGAATATGTACATATGTATTAGTAAAGCGGAATATTTTCTCTTAATGGGAATTCTATCTGACGCTGTGAGTTGCAACAAGCTCCGATTACAAGCTAATTCAGCTGAGGATTGTGTGCTGGGGCAGCGTCGATTTAGTTGCGATTTTTCGAATAGGAATTGTTTAGTTATTGGTTAGTGCATTTCGGTTCTCGTTGTGGCGTTTATTTTTCAAACAAATTTTTTTTATTGTATTACAACTTTCGGAACGAGCCGTTGTTTTTATTTGTTTTCGTTTGTCACTGTTATTACAAAACATTACATTCTTTACATTCGCTTTTATTGTTGCAACTGTGTCGATTAGCGCGAAAAACCAGGTTTTCATCTACGAGTAAGTGCTTTACACTCGCCAAATTGGTTTATGGTTTTTGCTAGCTGCGCTGCGAGTGTTTTTTTAAATACTCAATTTTATTATTACAAGCAGATTTTTTTTTTATCGTTTATCGTTATTATTAGTAGCGGTAATATTTCACATATATGTATCTGTACTGACAGTGGCTGATTTAAGCGGCTGCTCAACTGACACACCACACCGACTGTCTGCAGCCCTAACGAATGGCCAATGGCTTTACCATTAACACGTCATGTCGACTACTGAATTTGTGTGGGGTAAAGAAATAGTCAGCGAGCAAAATTATTTTTTAAATGCTTGCGCTCAGGTATTGATCAAACAACTTTTCGGCTACCTTACAAACAATAAAATGAAGAAAGGCTTTTCAAGTATGCAATAGATGTAGATAGGAAGATATACATAACTTGTTGTACATATAACTGTGCTAGACGATATAGCAATACATGCGTACTTATATATGTACATAGGGCGTACATGATTACATACATATAGATATGTGTACCTTCCTAAAAATATCTGTACATATGTATACATTAGTATCATATATGAAATGAACAATCTTTCCGTAGAAATATACCGATGAGAAAAAGGACTTCTTCACAGGTCTATTCTGAATGTTGTCGATGATTTGGTACCCGGATATCTTGATTACGAAAACTTGTTACCACTTCTGGTAAATACAATTTTAGGTGCCTTGGTAACGCTCTAACGCTCATCTAAAGATTTTTGTAGAAATTCTAGAATTACATTTTTTTATTATATTTTGTTGTCAGCTTTTAGGATAAGTACTAACATCGTTTACCGGTTACAAGAGTTCACAGAATGCGAAAAGAAACCGCTTGCATTTTTAAGAGGAAATAGACCGCAGTCTTTCGAAATACAAAGGTAATTTTTAAAGCAATAAATTAAAAAAATTATGAGAAAGTTCAATTAAAAACAATAGAATACAAAAAATAAATAAATTAACTAAAAAAAAATGAACTAAAGGAGTAATAAAAACTCCGCTGCCGAGGATTCGAACTTATTTATTTGCCTTTAGCTTTCTAGGCTTACCAAATAAACACATTAAAAAATCATTGCTGAGTAGGGGATGTAGGTAAGTACTCGGTAACCGTGTCAATATATATGTATATGTATGCACATGCAAATATATAAAAAAGTGTAGTATGCTCACCTAAATCCGAAAAGATTGCATCAGAAAGAAAGTCCATATCCATAGAATCGTCGTAAAAGTGGTTTTTGTTGCCTTTGAAGCATCCTTCTGTATTCTACGGTCTACACGGAATGCTAAAAAACATATTAAAATATATTTATTTTAATGAAAAGTAAGATAAAGAAAAAATTGATTTTCAAACAAATAAAGAAGTGCAACACGACAAACCGACTTGCCGAACTTATGTTCCATTGTTTTCCCTAAGTAAATAAATATATAAATATAATGCAGTTGATTTGCTATTTTTAACCGACTTCACAAAAAGGAGTTCGTCGGAATCTCCCTCATTTTTCGGAGAGGTGGTACCTCAAGGGTGGCTCCATACTAATTTTGTTTAGATCCGATAACTGAATCGTGAAGAAATTAACGATAATCTTAAATTTTTATTTGAGAATTAAAGTCAGTTTTGTTTTTTGCTTAAAAATTACTTGTTCAGAAGTCGATTAAAAATAAACTATCGAAATAAAAAAGTAATATTTAACAAAAAATACGAATAAAAACAATTAATGATGGCTTATCAGGAAATTATGTGAAAATAACAAATGCAATAAACAACACACACATTTGATTCTACGAGCAGCTAATACAAAATTCTTATTTGCTCCAACGAGTAGTGATTATTTCGCAATAAATACTAAGTAAACAGGAAAATTGTTACGGGAGCAAAGCGAATAATGGCGAAATTATCATGGTTGTGGAAAGTAAAAAAAAAAAAAATGTACGAAAAAATGGCTGTCAATGCCAAGATCAATACATATACCATCCCTGTAGGGAAACGTACTAGTGCCAAGCTGGTTCAGTGGTAGAGATTTCTAATCAGACTTGCCAACTTATTTCAGTTTTATATTAAATAGAATCGGGTGATGAAAGAACATGTGGTTAAAAAATAAATAAAATGTTTAATTTATTTAAAAGTACAATCAATCAATCTATTCTTATAGTTCAGAGCGTTTTGATAGATCCTAGAAAATTATGTTGACCTCAAAAGAGGAGAATATGTACTTTTATTTTTTTGACGTGGTATAATACATATATATACATACACATTTACTTAAGCATACATAAGGAATAAAAACAAATTAAAAAACAAACGGCGGTGTGCGGTGTAATGATGACTCGACAGTCACCTCCGTCACCCTAATTGAGGCTTAACAAAAGAAGTTGGTGGACGGACGCCTAGGAGCAAAGAATGATTTCATGAAAATTTGATGCAAAGCAGCATAACAGTGTAAAGCTAATATGCCTACTATATGTATGTATAAGTCAATTTATCTACATAAAATGCTTCAAAGTAAGTTGCGCTTACAGATAATCTAAAGAATTAAAAAAAAAAAAAAAAACACAAATACTCGTAGACATGCAGAATATGTTTTGATTGACGGCAAGTGACTGAGCGAGCGCGTTGAGTTATGGTGTTGCGGTGTGTGTGTGCAACGAATGCAACGAAGGCAAAACAAGAGACAGATTTGAAAGTGAATGCGATCGCTAAAGCATGCAGTGTACTTGTGTGTACATACATATATTTGTATGTTTTTTTTTTTTTTATATGGAAAGTGATGTGAATTGTAACTAGAATGGAAGTGTGTAATGTGGAAGAACGTTTGCGCAAATAAAATTTTAGTGACCCTAAACAAATTATAACAGCAGATCAGGGAAAGACCTTGGTCGCCTTCGGCGTATTCTTCGTGCAAGAAAAGCATATCTGCCGTTTCGGTACCCAAATGAGGCAATACTGTCCAAAGACAGAGTAAACGATAGATCCCTACTGCGAAACCATGGTCGGTGTTGGGAGTTTCAAAATATCAGATGCGTCTATCTTGCCGGGGTTTTGGACGCTCATTGTTTCAGCTGGTTCGGGTGTTCTGACCCCCCTCGAAATGTAGCGTCTTCGACAATAAGATGTTAATAACTAAGGTTAAGATTTTATGGCACTAAAAACTTGAAAAAAAGGCAAACTGAGCTTTGAAAAGGGCAAGAAAAGATATTTATGATTTAATTTTGTTATGTGCAATGTGCATGTACATATGTATGTATAAAAAAATACATACAGTGGTCAAAAAATTATAGCCGAACCACTTTCGGCCAAGTTTTAACGTATTATTTTTCTTGTAATTAAATTTTGGTTATTTTTTTAATAAAAATATAGTTAATTCTTTAACAAAAGCCGTGTAAATCCAAGTTTCCAACTTTGTACATAGTTAAAAAAAAAAATTCAACAAACTTTCGTACAAATTTCGAGCTTTTTTAAAAATTCTAAAAAATCAAACATAATTTTTAGCCATTTGAAACTTGTACTTTATTCCACTAGAATTTAATGTGCTACAAAACTGCATACTCATTCATTGCATAACTATTTAAGGCAGTGTCACACACATTTTTATATTGGGCTTTTGGTACAAAATAAAAAAATTTGGAAATTCTGTTTTTGTAGTCAATGCAGCAATGTTCTGTTGAACAATTTCAACAAATTATTTTTCGGGATTGGGATAAAGAAAAATATTTGGGTATTCACACAATTGGGATACGATTTGCACAAAATTTTGGCAAATACCCAAACGTGTAACATTGCCTTTAAACTTGTATTTATACGGATGTTGTTGAAGAATGAACTATATAAAACTAACCAAAATTAAATAGCAACAAAAATGATTTTTTAAAACTGGTCAAAATTTGTTGCGGCTATAATTTTTTCGAGTACTGTACATTAGTTGATTATGATTGCTCGGCCGTGCTACCACAGTAGCCGCTAAGTGCATTTTAAAAAATTCTGGCAATAGCCTAATGCGATTATAGCGAAGCGTTGATTTAAGATTACTTTTATTTTTTGTTGTTTGTGTGAAATATTTTATTTTTATCAGTATTTTTCTTTTAATCAAACTATGTTGAAATAACAGTGAAAAAAATTAAAAAAAAATATTCTGTCACGGTATTGAGGTTGTGGTCGAACATAATCTGAATAATCGATCTGGTAAGTGGTGACGCGAATACTTTTAGGGACTACACATATCATATACCTTATAACTGATTTCTAGCGAACTTTTTGCAGATTAAATAATAATAGATTGGCACTTCCACAATATGTTAGTGTTTGGCCGAGCTTCTCCTCCGATTTGTGCCGTGCGCCTTGATGTTGTCACACAGCAAAGGGGAGGGACCTGCAGTTTTACGCCAACTCCGAACGGCGATTGTATCTTTACAATCATGGCTGAAATACACTCGGAGGTTCGTCATTGCCTGCCGAGACAAGGCCGCTATTAGAAACAACTTTTTTTTGTCTCATTTTCTGATGTTGGTCGGGAACTGGGCTCGAACCCAAACCCTACGGAATGGTAGTGCGCACTGCCAACCTCTTCACCACAACGGCAGCCGATTTACCCCACTGTTTATTGTTTGACTCGCGCTGTGATTTAGGCTAATGCTCCCTCGCTACGGGTATACATACACTGAGGTAATCTTCGACGTTCTTTCAGACAATTGTCGTCGTTGTCATCATCATTGTTGTTGTCATCTTTAGTATGAGACACATTTTAAGCAGCTTCCTCGTCGGCGTTACTCTGGTGCACCGGCTGCTCTATAAATGTGTGCTTCGTCGGCCTATAATTGAATTAGCGCTTAGATACAAACTTACAAAACTAGATACTTGAAAAAGCGGTGCATAAATTTTAGCGCATGTATGCGTGTGTATAAGTATGTGTGCGCGGGTTATTTTGCTGTAATTTAAATTAATTTGTGCAAGTAAGTTGATAATTCTCTATTACAACACAACTTAATTCAATCTGCCAACCAACCACTGTCAGACTTTAGGTATTTTGAAGTTCTGAAAAGTCTGGAAAATGTTTGTTTTAGAAAATAGGGAATGTATTGTATGTATGTAGGTAGTTGACACAAAATCTTGACTTGAGCATGCAGCTGGTTTCACAATTGGCGCTGTTTTGCTTTTAAAAAAATTACTGCTACCGCGCGCACTGAAAAGGCAAAATAGCTCTTTCTATATACATACATACATATATGTATGTCAATAGGCGCAAATCGAAATTTCAAATCTAATAATACCAGTTTAAATGCACTTGCACAGCGTTGGTATTTTTTTTTATTGTAAATTTCTGGCAAAACCTGCTGCCTTTAGATTAAGAAAAAAACAAAAACAAATGTAGAGTAGCGAATAGTACCGTAGTTTTTACATAGTAAACCCGTTAGTTTATTGAAAAGTCAGCATTTTCCTTCCAATACGTAGCTATTGCTATAAATAATATTCCCTCAATTGTAAATGAGTAGATATTTTTGAAATTTTTATTTACCTGTTTTACTTTGTATCACATCTTTTAGAGAAGGCTACCAAATATTTATTTATTAATTTTTCACTTTTGCACTTCGCCTCATCCAATTATTTAAAAAAAAAAAACTTGCATAAACTTTTCCACATTTTAGCTGGTATTCTTATAGTAAGAGTTGGTACAAGTACATCTATGTGTACATGAAATATTTATGCATATCACATATCGATGGCTGAGTGGAAGATCGACCCATCTCGGCAGCCAGTTCGAAAACGCTCTATCTCAAAAAACTTTTCAAGAACGCCCTATTTCAGAATTCGTTTCAAAAACGCCCTATCTCAGCTGCCGATTCAAAAACGCCCTATATCAGCATATTTTCAATACATTTTGAAGTAAGATAGGGCGTTTTTGAACCGAATTTTGAGATAGGGTGTATTTCAATTAAATTCTGAAATAGGGCGTTCTTGAAAAGTTTTTTGAGATAGAGCGTTTTCGAACTGGCTGCCGAGATAGGTCGATCTTCCACTCAGCCATCGATATGTACATACCTACTACAGTGAAAGCTCCCATAAGCGGACACCGATGGTCGCTTATGAGAATTTCGGAAAAAAATATGTATATTAAAATTCAAATTTAAAAAATTTTAAAATAATATTTATTCTTCAATATGTAGATAAAAACGGAATATATTAAAATTTTTGGGGTTTTTTTTCTACCAACAAATCTCATTGCCCGCTTCGCTAAAGCAGCAAGAAGAGGGCGGCAATGAAAAAAAAAAATTTTTTTTAGAAAAGAAAACA